TACTAGAAGGAGACTAGTGAGGGAGGCCACCAGGACTCCTGTGACTCCTGAAGGGTTCGGTTCAGAGGCTGTTCATACTGACTGAGGTGTAATTCCTCTGCAGCCCTCCAGGAGCGCTATGACCGAGAGCTGCAGAGGCAGGCGGTTGCCCAGGGCAACCAGGGCGCTACCATGGAGACCGACGGGTCAGCTGGCGCCAACGGAGTCTCTGATGTCACAGGGAGAGGGGAGGAGCCAGCAGCAGGAGCCAATGAGAGGCTGGAACAGGTGAGTGAACAGGTGTAGCTTTAGCTCTGTTAGCGACTCACCTGGTTTGTTTTTCTGTGTTAAAGTTTAAAGAGGTTAAACCCAGTTTGTGTTCCTGCTTGCAGACGGACTCTCAGCTCCACGGTGAGTTTCTGACGTTTCTCAGATGTTTCCTCTGAAGGATGAACTCCTGATCTTTCATGTGACCTTCAGTCGTTACCTGAAACACACCTGAGCTGTGCTCGTTGTCTCAGTTCCAAAGTAGTGACATAAGATAAAGCCTGGACGTGCTTTAAGTGGTGGTACTGATCCAACCCGTCACCATGACGTTCATGGCTTCACATGCAAAGACAGGATTCATCCTGAAGTGACAGGAGCTTCGCTTTCTGCTTCGTTCTCCTCAAACCTTCACTCAACCCACTTTGACAGATCTGAGTGTCGTGTGAATGAATGATCAGCCGGATGGCCCGTCCACTCAGGACCAGTCTGGTGCTACTCTGAGTTTCCTTACAGTCAGTGAACTCTGTGCAGAACCGACTTCTGGACTCCATCAGAACTGATCATTTACAGCAGCTGACAGCGAATCAAATGAGCTGCTGCTCCAGACTCATTCAGAATGTGTCCAGAATGACAGAAACCAGCCCAACATGTCTGAAAGCCTTCTGTCAGGGCTCTAAATCATAGCTGTGAGCAGTAGAAAGGTCTGAGGAGCAACACCTGGGAATGAAGTCAGGGTCAGGAACATGCAGGAGTTGAAGAAAACGAGCACATTAGTCCAGAATTACTCAAAAATTGGCCAAAGTGACTCAAAAAATACCCAGAAAGTGGACAGAGACGTGAATGAATGGTGCAAAACCTCTTAAATGTGATTAAAAAAAGAAGACATTTGTCCACAATGACAAAAAAATACGTCCAAAATTGGAGAATAATTGTTGAAATGAGTCTAAATTTGTGGAAGTCTTCTTAAAAATGGTCCAGAATCAGTCCAGATGTCACTAAGATGAGATGAAACTTCTCAAACACGAGTCAAAATACGTCGAGGATGACATGAATCTGCCCAAAATGAGCCAGAAATGATCCATTTGATTCAAAGTGTTTCTGATGCGACTCAGAGCTTCAAGAGTTTAATCGTAGCGATCAGGGCGCTCGCTGACTTGCAGAGGATCAGAGTATTGATGAGTGATCAGTTTGTGTCTGCAGCAGGTTCACTGACCAGAAGAAGAACTGAGTGTCACCGGACTGACCTGCTGAATGACTGTTTACCTGCTCATCACTGTTCATAACATCATAGAATATACGTTCATATTCTATGATGTTTGGTGGTTTCACAGCTTCATCCGGCTGCTCTGAGCTTCAGCTGGCAGCAGAACATTCATTCAGTTCTAAGCCCAAATCAACACCAACCCCTGGTGTTATTATAAATACCCGACTCAGAACCTTCAGCGTTCTGTAGTCGGTGTTTTAAACGGATCGTTCTGCTGCTGCGGCCCGGACTGAAGCTGGTGAACCTTCCTCCACTCTGTCCCTTTGCGGAGCTTCTTCCTGTTGATCCTCAAACAGCAGCTTTCGTTGAGCCTCGTTCTTTGTTCCTCCTGAGCTTCTGTCGGAGCGCGGCTTGTGTTTGAGGCGACGCGTCGAGCCGTCAGCGTGGCTTCATGAGCGTAGAGCAGCTAGCTGGCTCAGGGCAGACACACACCACCGGCTGTAGCAGGGATCAGGAGCTGCACCCCGAAGATCAGACCAAACATCCTCAGGACGGGACCTTCTGGCTGAGCTGCTCAGACTAAACTCATCCCTCCTGCTCGTCCAGCTGGAAACGGGAACTCGTGTGATGAAGAACTGACCTGAACAATCAGAATATAATTCAGGTTGTAGAAAGTTTCACACACGTCTGGATGTTTTTCATCATGACTGCTGAGAGCAGAACGACTGATCCTCATGTTGTGTTCCTCCTTTAGTCTCCTTCTGCTCAGTTTGTGTTCATGCTGCTCAGTTTTAGTCACTTTCTGATCTTTATGTGCGTCTCTGTAGTTGTTTGTTTGTCTTTGTCAGCATTTTGTGTCTCTCAGTGTTTGTTTTGAGTAGTTTTGTGGATCTCTGCTCAGTTTGAACTCTGTCTGGTCACTTTGTGTGTTTTCCTTCTCATTGTTCAGCCTTTAGCTCTTGTGTAGCTGTTCATCTGTTTGTTTGTTTGCGTGTCTTTTAGTCTGTTTCGTTTTCTGTCTGGTTATCTTGTGTTTGTTTTGTGTCTGTTGTTGTTGCTGCTGTAGTTTTGTCAGTGTTGTCAGTAAAGGTTCGGTTAAATCAGCCGACTGTGGGTCAGCACCAGGGCGGACCGTTTGTTTGCTAACACAGGCTGACGAGAGCAGACTGTTGTTCACATCCAGAAACAGACATGTGGACTCGTCTGCAGGAGAACAGGAATCTACATTTGTTCTCAGATTGGTTTAGTGGTTTTTTACTTTTAAATATTTATTTTTTTATCGTCACACTCTTTAATGAAGTTTGCCACTAAAATCTCCTTAAACTGTTGAAGTCTCTGTTTTCTGCTACAAATGCTAAAAAACAATCTAAATTTACCCAGAGTTCCCATCACACGAGTCCCATTTAACCCAGAGGTAAGCCCTTACAGACGTCTGAAGGTGGAGTTCAGATAAACACGCTGTCAGTGAACGCACCACGTTGAACCCTGCAGCGTCTCAGGTGACGTTTGACTCTGCAGCTCAGCCAGAACCCCTCCGCCTGCCTCCACCTGCCTCCACCTCCATGCAGACAGCAGCTGCTGCAGTGTGTGTCTGTCCTAACGGACTGCCCTGCTGTGTGCGGCGCCCCCTTTAGGCCTGTCAGAGACGAGCGTAGAGAAGATTGTAGCTAAGCAGGCAGCGCTAGGCTGGTCGGCTGCTCTCTGTCCAATAACTCACTGCTTTGGACCAGAGCTGGAGATGAAACTGAGCACCGAGCAGGAGGAGAAGAGGCTGCTGAGGGAGCAGATCCAGCACCTGGAGGTACCCACGCACAGCACACACCTGCAGAAGCACACCTGTACCAACACACACCTGTACTAACACACACCTGTACTAACACACACCTGTTCTAACACACACCTGTTCTAACACACACCTGCACTAACACACACCTGTACTAACACACACCTGCAGAAGCACACCTGTACTAACACACACCTGTACTCTCACACACCTGCACTAACACACACCTGTATTGTCATACACCTGTACTCTCACACACCTGCACTAACACACACCTGTATTGTCATACAGCTGTACTAACACACACCTGCACTAACACACACCTGTACTAACACACACCTGTACTAACACACACCTGCACTAACACACACCTG